TTAGGTTTTAATATACAATGACATCTTTATGCCTTAGTATATAATGACGATTTTTGATGTTTCAATGCCTTAATATACTATGCATTTTTTTCATGTTTTTATGCCTCATTACACTATGCCGTTTTTTCACTTTTTAGGTTTTAATATACAATGACATCTTTATGCCTTAGTATATAATGACGATTTTTGATGTTTCAATGCCTTAATATACTATGCATTTTTTTCATGTTTTTATGCCTCATTACACTATGCCGTTTTTTCACTTTTTAGGTTTTAATATACAATGACATCTTTATGCCTTAGTATATAATGACGATTTTTGATGTTTCAATGCCTTAATATACTATGCATTTTTTTCATGTTTTTATGCCTCATTACACTATGCCGTTTTTTCACTTTTTAGGTTTTAATATACAATGACATCTTTATGCCTTAGTATATAATGACGATTTTTGATGTTTCAATGCCTTAATATACTATGCATTTTTTTCATTTTTTTTGCCATACTATAGTATGTCGTTTTTTCACTTTTTTTGCCATACTATATTATGTCGTTTTTCTCACTTCATAGGCGTCAATATACTATGACATCTGTATACCTTACCATATTATGACGTTTTTTGATGTTTTTATGCCTTAATATACTATGTCGTCTTTTAAGTTTTTTTGCCATACCATACTTTGCTGTTTTTCTCACTTTTTAGGCCTTAACATACAATGACATCTTTATCCCTTAGTATATTATGACGTTTTTTGATGTTTTTATGCCTTAATATACTATGCTATTTTTTCATTTTTTTTGCCATAGTATACTATGCCATTTTTTCACTTTTTCTGCCATACTATACTGTGTCATTTTTCTGACTTTTTAGGTTTTAATATACAATGACATCTTTATACCTTAGTATATTTTGATTTTTTTTTATGTTTTTATGCCTCATTACACAATGCCATTTTTTCATTTTTTTGCCATACTATACTATGCCGTTTTTTCACTTTTTTTAACCTTTCTATACTATATAGTTTTTCTCTCTTTATAGGCCTTAATATACAATGACATCTTTATCCCTTAGTATATTATGACGATTTTTGATGTTTTGATGCCTTAATATACTATGCCATTTTTTCATTTTTTTGCCATACTATACTATGCCATTTTCTCACTTTTTTTGCCATACTATACTGTGCAATATTTCTCACTTATATGCCTTAATATACTATGACATCTTTATACCTTAGTATATTATGATGTTTTTGATGCTTTTATGCCTCATTACAATATGCCATTTTTTCATTTTTTTGCCATACTATACTATGCTGTTTTTTCACTTTTTTTACCATACTATACTATGTCATTTTTCTCACTTTCTAGGTTTTAATATACAATGACATTTTCATACCTTAGTATATTATGATGTTTTTTGACGTTTCTATGCCTCATTACACTATGTCATTTTTTCATTTTTTTGCAATACTATACTATGCCGTTTTTTCACTTTTTTTGCCATACTATAATGTGTCATTTTTTTCACTTTTTAGGTTTTAATGTACAATGACATCTTTATCCCTTAGTATATTATGACGATTTTTGATGTTTTTATGCCTTAATATACTATGTCGTATTTTCAGTTTTTTTGCAATACCATACTTTGTTGTTTTTCTCACTTTTTAGATTTTAATATACAATGACATCTTTATCCCTTAGTATATTATCACGTTTTTTGATGTTTTTATGCCTTAATATACTATGTCGTTTTTTCAGTTTTTTTGCAATACCATACTTTGTTGTTTTTCTCACTTTTTAGGTCTTAATATACAATGACATCTTTATACCTTAGTATATTATGACGATTTTTGATGTTTTTATGCCTTAATATACTATGCTATTTTTTCATTTTTTTTGCCATACTATACTATGCCATTTTTTCACTTTTTTTGCCATACTATACTGTGTCATTTTTCTCACTTTTTAGTTTTTAATATACAATGACATCTTTATACCTTAGTATATTATGATTTTTTTTGATGTTTTTATGCCTCATTACACAATGCCATTTTTTCATTTTTTTGACATACTATACTATGC